GTGTGCCGTAATCAGAGGTCGGAATTTGAGAACCCTGAGCTGTGTGCCGTAACAGGGAGATTTATATATTGGACTTTATTTTATTTTATCTTATATATTTTATTGGACACAACCCGAGCTGTAATTGAATTTACACGCTCGCAATATGAATGATTAATTAAGCTATTGTTACTTACAATTTTAAGTATACATTGTACACTTGCAACAGATGGGTTGTTAATTCTCAAATTGGCTTTCAGGTCACACCCAATGGTTATCAGCTTTTTGGCTTCTGATAAAACAACTTTTTCATTTGAAAATACAACAGATGAAATTTCTTAGCTTCCATTTTAGCAATCTCAGCATTGTGCCTTTGTAGGCCAGGATCATAAAAACTTTTCTTGTAACTGGTGGTGGCTGTTTCAAAAGTATTGATTTTTTTGTTGTTGTTGTTGTTGTTATTGTTTCTATTGAATTGCCTTGCTTTAATAATAATAATATTATTATTATCATCATTTACCAGCATTATTGTCATGTTATTACAATCCTTTACTTCTCTAAATTGATTTTCAAGTTCAATTTTGGCATCTTCAAAAAATTGCATTTCTATATAAATATAATTTGAATAAATAAAATATTAACCAAATATACAAAACATAAACATCTATGTAAATTAATTGATTTATACTACTTACCAATAAAGCCCTCTCAAGTCTTGACTAAAATTTTATCATTGTGATTTGAAATATGTTCTTTGCTTGGTTCCAAAAATTTTTTATTAATAAAAGTTCTTTTGTTTGAACTATTTTTTATAAATAATTCATAACCTAAATCCTTAATGTTTGATTTACTCTAATGGAATTATAGATAATAATATTATTATTGATTTCAATATTGCATATAATAGATATGTATGATTAATTAAATTATTGTTACTTACAATCGAAATTATACAATGTATATTTACAATATATAGTGGTTTATTAATCCATATATCACATGATTCATCATGCCCAATGGTTATGCGATTTTGAAAATCTGTTATGCTAGCTCTTTGATTTTGGTATACAATAGATGAGATTGCTTTAGTTTCCATTTTAGCAATCTCAGCTTTGTATTTTAATATCTTTTTTGTTGTAATTCAAGTGCAATATCATAATAACTGTCGCTGTTATTAATAAAATTACCACGACTATCATGTCATCATCTTTTTTATTAAAAAAAGATAATTTATTTTTGATCAATGAGCATGGTGGAAGTTTGTTGTTACACGAAATGTCATACAGAACTCATTGCTCCTGAAACTTCACCAGTATATAGTTGTTACCTCTATAAATTGGAGATCAAGTTCAGATCCAATTCAAATCCAGTTTATCACTTACTTTTTATTGCCAGAATGTTTGCCTTGTATTGTAAAGCTACGTTGCACAATATAAAAAATTAGTGTAACATTTCAAATTTCCACTATGCTTGATCAATGCAACACTAATTATTTATTGGCACTTGGTGTTGCACAAAGATTTGGCGCGAATTGATTTTTTCAAAGATGACAAAGAGGTACTATTATTTATTTGTATTGATATATGTCTTCTATATTATTGAAATCAAAACACTTATCAAGATGATAAACAATTGGTATTTTGCTTTGCGTAATCAATATTAATATTATTATAAATAAAGGCAGTACACTGTTGAAAATGAAGCATTTCAAATACAAAACACTTCAATATGCGACATTTAATTATCGGAAATTTACAGATTGAACATTTTACAGTCATTCTTACATTCCTCATGTACACAAGGCTAATCTAACCTGCAATGCCCTTAGGTTACAATGATGCAACAGGATTATTACAGGGGGGAGGCGCGTGTGCTCTGGTGTTCACACAAGCTGCATCATCGTCAAAGACTCTTTCACTAATCTTCTCTCAGAGCACCCGACCAGGGAAGGCTTTCCAGCATGTTAGACGAAAAGTTGCCTGCAACGTTCTTACCTCCAGGGTAAGGATAGTTCTGTGACCAAGCTGCAACTCTATTGATAGTGCTATATAAACATCCAGATCCATCAAAGCAACAAGAACCTGCAACTTGTTTCAAGCACAGAGAGGTTACAATTCGGTGCCCGAAATCGCATTTGAGCTCTGATGTTAGGAGGAAGGCTGTAAAATAAAATGGTTTGGATCTTTTTTGCCACATTATAAATTAATCATTCCCATAAATTTTCTGTTTTTTGATTTTTATTTGACCAACTAAATTTGTTATTTTTTAAATGGGGGTATAACACAAAGCAAACTTCACCCAAATGCTGATCGTTATCAGTGATAATGCCCATATGACAACAGCCAAGCCTGGTCTGAGAGGAAAGTTTTATCATGAATATTTGATGAATGGAGGCATTCACATACAAGGAAATGATTAAATAGCTAAGTCTGTTGTTTATTAAAAACAATAATAATAAATTTATACAGAATAAATTGTGGTTAATAAAATTTTGACATCGATCACCAAAAAAACATCGTTTTAATATCAACAATAATAATCTCAGCATATTTCTAATGTGTAAATAGTTCCAAGAAGGAGGGAGACTTTGATGGCATAAGAAAAAAGACTTATAGATTTGTTAATATTTAGTTGTTTATTTTATTGCAATATAATTACACAAGGCTAATCTAACCTGCAATGCCCTTAGGTTACAATGATGCAACAGGATTATTACAGGGGGGAGGCGCGTGTGCTCTGGTGTTCACACAAGCTGCATCATCGTCAAAGACTCTTTCACTAATCTTCTCTCAGAGCACCCGACCAGGGAAGGCTTTCCAGCATGTTAGACGAAAAGTTGCCTGCAACGTTCTTACCTCCAGGGTAAGGATAGTTCTGTGACCAAGCTGCAACTCTATTGATAGTGCTATATAAACATCCAGATCCATCAAAGCAACAAGAACCTGCAACTTGTTTCAAGCACAGAGAGGTTACAATTCGGTGCCCGAAATCGCATTTGAGCTCTGATGTTAGGAGGAAGGCTGTAAAATAAAATGGTTTGGATCTTTTTTGCCACATTATAAATTAATCATTCCCATAAATTTTCTGTTTTTTGATTTTTATTTGACCAACTAAATTTGTTATTTTTTAAATGGGGGTATAACACAAAGCAAACTTCACCCAAATGCTGATCGTTATCAGTGATAATGCCCATATGACAACAGCCAAGCCTGGTCTGAGAGGAAAGTTTTATCATGAATATTTGATGAATGGAGGCATTCACATACAAGGAAATGATTAAATAGCTAAGTCTGTTGTTTATTAAAAACAATAATAATAAATTTATACAGAATAAATTGTGGTTAATAAAATTTTGACATCGATCACCAAAAAAACATCGTTTTAATATCAACAATAATAATCTCAGCATATTTCTAATGTGTAAATAGTTCCAAGAAGGAGGGAGACTTTGATGGCATAAGAAAAAAGACTTATAGATTTGTTAATATTTAGTTGTTTATTTTATTGCAATATAATTTTATAACAGCAGAACAGAGTGAATTCTTTGATGAATTTTATTATGAAATTGGAGATATGCATCCCACTGATCATGTTAGTATCAATATCAATAATAATGGATTAATTTCATATTCTTGGTAATGGAGCAAAATATGATGTTACTCTTTCTGAGGTATGTACTATTATTTAAGACATAATATTAATTATTTCATTGACACAGAAGATATATAAGATACAAATTTATTTCAGAAAATTTATTTTTCCACAATGATGAAAATTCAATTGCAGAGAAATATAACTTGAGGAAAACAATTTTGCTTCAATAGAAAGTGATTCAGAAAATAATGGTAAAAATTATAAATTAGATTCTCATAAATTATCTAAATGATGTTTTTTAAGATAGTAGAAAGGGAAGTGATTGGTTGATGTGTGTCACATTAATGTTAACATGCCAATACCAAAAAAGAAAAAGATCAAGGGCATTTTATGTGCCAAGTTCACATTCCACAGACAACCATTTTTTCATCAACTTTTTACAAAATTTATTTGATAAATTTAATTTATTAAAAAAATACATGTTCTTTTTTTTACACGATCATCAAGGAGGGAGAGGACAAGTAACTATTATGGTTGTTGCTGTTGTTGGTATTTATTATTTATAATGATTGTTATTGTTGTTGTTTGTATTATTACTTATAATGATTGTTTAATATTAAAGAAATTCGTGTTCTTTTTTTTTTTAGACAATCACCAAGGGGAGGACAAGCAATTATTATTACTACTGCTGCTATTATTGTTGTTGGTATAAAGATTGTTATTATTGTTGTTGTTGACAATACTGTTTATAATGATTGTTTGATTAATATTGAAGAAATACATGTTCCTTTTTTTTTAGACAGCTATCATGGAGGGGAGGGAACAAACTACTACTATTATTATTACTATTGTTACTGATATTATTATTTATAACATAACGATTGCAACGATTTCAATCCATTGCTGTTCACAACTTCTAATCTTTTATACTTATCTAAGGAACTATAGAGATCTTTGACTGGGAATAATCAAAGCCCAGGATGTGCAACTTATCCAGCGAAGTGGCAAAACTTTTAAAACTCATCAATCCTGGCTCATTGCAATGTACATCTGACCTTCCATAA